TCAAGCTCTATCATAGTCTAAAGTTTCAAGACAACTTTGTTTTCTTTTACCAAGAAAGACATAGCTTCGATATAGAAAAATGAGAGTCTCATTCATTTTTAATTTCAAAGCGTACATATTTTTCCAGCCATATTTTCATCAAATGTGAGGGCAAGAGAGTGGGAAAGTAATGCCCGAGCATATTTCAAATTGTTGCCAAACATCGGCTAATGTAACATGATAGCAAAGAATGCTTCAAATGTCACCGTTTATTTAAGAAAATAAGTTTTTGTTAATATTGGAAGAAGAGTGAAGTCAAGTGGCGCAATTGCTCAATGTGGAGAGTAGTTTTTTTTGTCTACTTGATCGATCGGGCTGCCTGTTCACCTTCCTTCGTCGTCTTCTTATTCATTATCTCACATCACCAACATACACTTTCAAAGAGAGATGTTGGAATTGGAAAGTAAAAATCTCTGACCATTTTGGTAAACAACTCGATTCTTTGATTCTGTTGTTGCATTAGTTGTTGTAATAGCAGCCATATGTCACGCAGCGTTCTATTTTGTTTCTCATACTTTAAGTTAATTTTCAATCGTTCTTCGCTAAATTTTCTTTCATCTGTTGGAGTTCTTTTGAAAGATCGTTCATTGCTGACTTCAAAATATGATCGACATCAGTTGCCATCGATGTAATTGAGAACGAAGGAGGAAATACCGTTTTGTTACATTGAACCTAGAAATTAATTTGAGGCCGGATCGAGTGATAGCTTCAATTGCACAACGCTTCCGACCACTATGTGGACGATAAGCGATTGATATAAAGCGAAATGATCAATCCTAGAAGAGCAAGCTTGATCCAGCGTATTGATCAACGAGAGAAATAGTATAAAGACACACCTTCAAGGAATACTGCGAACCATTTGTCGATCTCTTCTCCCTGTCCTTATCATCGATCGTCACTTTTCCGACGTCTCTCGTTTCTCAGCAATGATGAGATCATTTCCGAATGATTCCTTTTTTCCTCATGCTACCCTGTCGATATCAATCAAATCATCAGTCACACTCAAGCACATGATGATACACTCTGGTGTATCGATGATGTGCATGTGACACCACACCATATTTCACATATCGTTTTCACAAGTGGTTCGACTGGTACGCCTAAAGCCGTAAGTTGTCCCACAAAATGAGTCGAAATGGAAATATCTTTTGTTTTCTTCTCAATACAATAATAGGTTCGTCTTCGTCATCGCAATTTTGTTTCATACATTCGTTCGTACATCATTCAGCCGACTGATGTCATTCTTAATCATACCTCAGTCACATTTGATGCACATCTTGGAGAAATTGCTGGTACACTGATGATGGGAGGTCAAGCAGTTTTACTTCCTCCTGATGGCGATCTCGATATGAGTATCTTTTGTTCAACAATCTCTCGTCATCAAGTGACCTATTTAGGCGGAGTACCATCTCTTTTTCACATGCTAACAGAGTTTATAACAATAGCAGATGAGAAAAACTGTTTGAAGACACTTCAATGCATTTCTTCTGGAGGTAAATGTTATTGAGAAGCTTTTCATGAGTCGTCTTAATTTTCATTTTTGTACAAATAGGAGAATCACTTTTGTCAACTGTTGCACGGGATCTCCTCTCCTATGTCAATGAACATTGTCGTTTCTACAACTATTACGGACCTGCAGAATGTACAGAAGCAGCAATTGAATATCGAGTTACCGGCGTTGAAGGTGCGCAAAAATATGTGCCTATTGGACGGCCAATGTCCAATGTTCATGTCTATCTCTTAGATGAGTATGGTCAGCCTGTGATACCTGGTATGCAACAAGGTGAAATTGTCATTGGAGGTAAGTTTTTGTGAAACACGATTGAAAATGAGTGTTGAAGGTGTAGAGCGATAAATTTGGACCCCTTCCCAAGACCGTGACAGACATGTCAACATGCTATTATGTTTTTGTACCATGATATTGTGGACTTTTAAACCATGGAATTATGAATTTTTGGACTGGGGTATTATGGTTTTTTAGACCTCAGAATACGGAATTTACAAGGGACTTGAAGTTATCTAATAGATTCAAAGTCCTGGAGCAAAAAACTTGTTGTTGTCTCGTCATAAAGTAACAAGGGTCATCATTTATATGGGAAACGGCTCCATCGTGTTTCACATTTTATCCCGTAGGAATTGCGCTGAGAGATTTTTCTTTTATGTTAGTGCAGTATTTTGTTTTACAGAAGTCAGTAATTCTGTGGGGTCTCAATGACAAAAAACTGAAAGGTCTTCCAATCGGCTGTTCTAGAGCCACCTTATAGACCGCGATTTCTGGAATTTTTCTTTTAAGAGATTTAGATCCCACAAGTGTTACTTGTGCTAAGTACCGAAAACTACCTAATATGGCGATTCACATTTTCAAAAATCCTTAACACAAGATGCAATTCTGAGCGTTAATGATTACTTCTCAAACCGTTATGCAGCAATATATATAATGTGTCCAGGTTTTTTTTGCTGACGCAATTAGAATCCATAATGAACGTGTTCAGTATGTCACATCATCGTTCTTACCAGAGCTTCGCGAGACGCAGCATAATATTTTCGAGAAAAGGCAGGACACGAGACAGGACGGCAGATGTTGATTTTTTTGTGATCCCGCGCAGCCCTTTGAAGAGAGTTTTGATCGACAGGGCTTTCTCACGCACGGTTTAATGAAAGAAGAGGAATGTGTCAAGTGATAGAGGTACTAGAGAGGTAAATAAAAGCGCTAAAACTCTTCGATGCAAGTCAATTAAAATTGGAAAATCAGTCGCCATAATTTGACTGAAAGAGTTGTTCTTAGGTTTATTTGGCATAAAATAAATGGTCTAATACTATTTAAAGAACGAGGATCTTGCATAGAGAACTGACAGCTTCCATTATAGTTAATCCATTTTGAAAATATTTAAGAGCAAAATAATAATCCGAAATTTATCTGACAACCCGCATAACATCAAAATATGTAATCGCATGTCCGGCTACATGTCATTGCACTCATGAGATTCCTGTCACTATATTGAAGAAGAACTTACTGTAATTGCTTTACACTAGAGACCTGAGAAAATAATCGACCAATGGTGAGAGACACAGAGGCCGCGGGATCCAACGGGATGGGATGCGGAAAAAATTTGAAGAAGCGGGGCAACTCTTTGATTGTCTCGTGGACCTCTGGTTCTTACAAACCATTATCAATATACTAGATGTCGAAGAGTAACTTTTATTTGATGCACTGCAAAATCAGAATCAGTTCCAATTGATGTCACCTGTATTCAAGTGTATGGACATTCTCGTCACAGCGATGATTAACGTCTCATGCTTGTCTTGTATGTCTAATTTTTCCAAGAAATATCCAATTATTTACTACAGATTTGGAATCACTATGGCTATGATTGTGATTGCAGTAACATGATTCCTAGAAAGAGAGCATTCCAGCTTGAACTCATTCTTCATTCAGGATATATACCATAAGTGAAAGTTGTTTCTCAACATCTGGTATGTTGAAGAGTGTTTAGAATAGTTCTGCAAGAGTTTCTTAATAGTAAAACTGGGGCATGATATCCTCAACATGTGAGCGAATTGCAATGGCGTTGTACCATGTAGGCAGGCAAACTGAAAGAAAATGAAAGTATCCAGATTTCAGATTCGGGTTCATAGTTGGAGAGAGCATCCAGAGTTACTTACGATTCCAAAGTTTCTCTGCTGTCAACGTTAAAATAGACGAAATAGAAGTCTGTTACGACATTCGCAACATATGTCTTAGATATTCAAGATAGCTGTTTTCTCTTGCAATCTCGATCGATCAAAATTGCCATGAATTTTTCGTAAATCACTAGATAGCAATCAACGGATTCTTTCTTCTGGTGTCTAATGCAACTTTCTGGCTATCAGAAAAGCCATAGACTCGCTCGAAATGGCGTACCTAATAAAAAAACGAGTGTTCTGGAAAAATTTTCCCGTTTTTCTTCTAGAATCTTAGCAAGTTCAACAAGACTTTTCATGGAAAGCACATGCTAAGACTTCTCTTGTCATTAAGATATCCCATGAAACTCACTGTTATTATAAGGTGCAGAAAAGTCAGTTTCACGGTCGCGTGATACTTTGAATATATTTTTCTTTTTTCTCTGGATAAGGAATAAACGGATCAAGCTTACTTTTTCACCATATGAAGAAGCTTACAAAAGAAAAACAGCTTGTTAGTGCAACCCCTTTGGAGCTGAAATGTGGAACTCACATATGCTTTATAGCCTCATTAAATTAATACAAAAAACGTAAAATGAAAAATCTCTCGTAAACTAAAATTGTTTTGCAGGATAATTAATCACTGCAGTAAAAAATTATCCATTTTCTGCATTTCGCACAAATCTTTTTATTTTTTTTATACGGGCGCCCAATTTTTCATTTTCATTGTTGCTACTCGCTCATTATTTTTCGTTTTTCTTAATTTATCATTCTGATTATTATAATCGTTGAATTGATTGTAAAATAAGTGTGTTTTTGCAAATCTATAATATCTACAGCAGATCTTACATACTATCATATATATTAATCAAGCCGCAAATAATGATGCTCATTGTTTTTCAAAATTATAACTTGATCAATTTTCCAAAAAAGCTCCAGAAAATCTAACATTTTTTATTCTGGATTGCTAGGGTTTGTAATGGGGGAGGGGGGGGGGGGAGGACGGAGAAAAGTG